CCCTCTCTCTCTCTTTCTCTCCCTCTCTCTCTCTCTCTCTCTCTCTCTCTCTCTCTCTCGCTTTCTTTCCATTTGGAGGATGGAATGAAAGTGTTGGAGTCATCGGGAAGGTCGGACGGGTAGCCGCGCAGAAACAAGACTATTATTTTGTTTAGCTCAATATACTTACGGTAAAGTAAGAGTGTTCTTCGTTTTAAATTCTAATCGAAATCGACGAAATCGACGTACATATACAAATGTCAACAGTGTCTTTAAATTAAATATCTTTTAATCTATTGAGACAATATTGCTGTAATTTATTATGGAACAATGCGGATGAAGAACTTAATACAGCCATTATTGAAGAATTCGTATTATATACTAGTAACCTGAAGGATAAAAACCGTGGATGTGTTATATCAAAATATACTTATTCAATATACAAGCTATATTTTAGGGTTGAATGGCGCTGAATAGGGTTAAACAGGGTGGGACCATCCAAATAATATAGGTAGACTCTATGTATTTCTATGGGTGGGACCTAGAAGAACAGAAAGCTCCAAAGTCGTTAGTTTAAACCACTAAGTTTGATATATTTCTATTCGAAATACGCTTCTATGTATACATTCTCTCCGTTTCGTCTCTATAATAGATAGGGTACACCGATAGTGATTTTCTTGACAATGACTTTAGTGACTCATAGGTCACCCATGTTATTCCAGGCCTATGATAATGAACTAAGCTATTCCGCTGTCAGTCTGTCACAGATGTGGAGCAAGGTTGTTGCCTAATATAACCTTTTAATATGTACCTACAGGCTACCACTGTTGTCTCATCCGTGCATGGTCGTGGTCGCTATCCTTTTCGCTTCTGCTGTCCACCTTTAGCGATTAGAGTTTCCTACGTGTTGTTTTGAAGACGCAAGAAGATTATTGTGTGTTTGTGTTGTGTGCGGTGCGGAGTGTGTGAGTGTGTGTGTGTTTGTGTGTGTGTGTGCGTGCGTGCGTGCGTGCGTGCGTGCGTGCGGGCGTGCGTGCTTGCGTGCGTGCGTGTTTCTTTCTGTGTTGGTTTGTTTGTGCGTGCGTGTTTGTTCGTGTGTCTTTGTTTCTTTCTTTGTTGGGCTGTGTGTGCGCATGTGTGTTGCATATATGTGTGTGTGTGCGCGCGTTTGTGCGCGCTTGTGTGTGCGTGTCTGTGCGCGCGCGCTTGTGTGTGTGAAATTCGGTGCCAGTCCTCTGATCTGCGAAAAGAAAAATCTTGATGGACGTTGTCGCTGTAAATAGTAGAGGTCCGTGTTCGGATATATTAAGCTGACAGAGCAGAGGCCCTCTCTGTTTGTCTTTATCGGCGGAGGTGACCCAGACCCGCGCTCGGCCATAGGCTAACCTTTGTTGTGACTCATGTGTACACAAACGGACTGCCGCCTTTGCTGATCTGCGGGGTGATTGATTAGCCTATTTCCACAGCGGCACAGAAAGCGAAGCCGGGAGGAAGGGCAGAAGGAAAGAAAGAGGGGGGATGTTAGAAATCGTTCGATCGAGAGAGAGAGGGGGGAGGGAGGGAAAATGCGCGTGTGCGTGCGTGCGTTGTGTGTGTGCGTGTGTGCGTGTGTGCGTGTGTGTGGGGTGCGCGCGTTTGTGTGTATATATGTGTGTGTATGTGCGTGTGTGTGTGTATGTGTGTGAGAGAGACAGAGTACGAGAGAGAGATAGAGACGCGAGAACGCACGACGAAACGAGAAGAAAGGCGCAAGAGGAAAGGAGACGATAGAAGAGGAAGATGGTGGGGGTACGGAACGAGTGATGGAAAGAGAGAAAGAGGAGGAGACGCAGAGAAAGAGAGAGAGAGCGCGCGAGAGAGAGGAGAGAGAGAGCGCGTGAGAGAAAGAGAGAGAGAGAGAGAGACGCTGAGAGAAATGGAGAGAGGGAGAGAGACAGAAAGAGAGAGCGCGAAAGAGAGAAAGAAAGAGAGCGAGAGAGAAGAACATTCTATATCCAACCGCAGAGCCTAGAGACATGCACTGCTTACGTTGAACTCTGAGATGGCTGGCATTCGCCTGTAGCGCCCGAGGGGCAATCGGTCGGGCGTGGTCTGCGACGGTAGCTATCAACGAATCTTGATATTTTCTTGACACAAATAGAAAATTGAATCAGGCTTTCGTTTAGTCTAATCCTGCGGTCCCTTTCCGACGAAAGATGGAGGAAGTGTCGCATATACAAAGCAGTAAGCGCTGTCATGGTGAATCATCGGTGAGGCGATAGTGGGAGGGGGGTGCGAGTGACGACAGCACTGATAGCGATCGGACAGCATACTTGCTTCTGTATCAGCAGTATTCATATTTCGCCTTGGAGCTGGGTTGAGAGTTCTAGTTATATAAAATAACACCTAAAAGAGGGGGCGGTGCCCCCCGGGTGTTACACGTCGTCTGCTCACGATTGTGTGGAGCGATGCTTTTCGGACATGTGAACACTTAGACGCAGGTTTAAGTTGGGTCTGCTGGTCTCCCTCCATTTACCTGCTTCGCTTGCGGCTCGCACACGTGATTGTTGCGTGATACAAATTATCACGACTATTTTGTGGTCGTTGATTAGAGTGCTGCGAATCCAGTCTGCCACATTTATCGCCTCGTCAGTCATACACCTGTGACACTATCTTCGTTGTATCGGCTTTTGTGTCTTGCCTTTCTGTATTCATTCTATCGATGCTCCCCCTTCCCAATCCTCCTACATGGTCCATGTTTGCAGCTTGCTTCACTGCATCACAAAATTAGGCCGCGTCTAATGGTTGATTGTTTACCATGGCGCTCTGACCGACTTGCGAATGGCATGCTTCGCTGAAAAGTAAAATTTCGTCACAAAAGGTCTGTTTAACTGGTTAATTGCGTCTATATTACTGTACTGTATGCGCACGAAATTGCTCAAATCTTTTTCCTACATATATACGGACCTATACCTCCTACAGCGCGTTATCGCGTCTATGTGACCAAAGCGGCTGTATAAAATCTCCTGCGTACCTACCGACCTATAGTGCTATGTTTAAGTTACTTACTCCGAGTTAAGTTACTCGAGAGAAGCTACTCAAAGCTGGGTTACTCATATCGTTTTACGGTGGGCATATACATACATATATATATATATATATATATATATATATAT